TCTTGCACTGAGAGCAGTTGCCATACACAAGATCTGTTTAGCAGAGTTTATCTGTCCTGCAAATTCCGCTCCTCAGCTGTGTCTCAATAACAGTCACAACACTATAACTGAGACTCGAATATATTCCCACTGTACCATTATCTTTACCCAAGAGAACTGAGATGAAAATCAGCAACCAACAAAAAAGCGAGAAAGAGTCAAAAATCAATGAGCCTGCGAATGCGCAAGTCCAACCGTCTGCGTTTTGATCCGCAGCAATGATCTTACACACTGTATCTTGTTTCTGCACACGTACATTCACAAATACACAATAAGGTATACAAACATAGCTCGATACCACAGCACTACACGTACAAAGTCAACCATTTTAGCTATCGCTGTTGTTTGTGCAGGCGTCCTCCCCGGCAAACTTTTCAGGCGTGGTCTGCCACAAGCGAGCGGCCAGGAGAGGGGCCTGTCGGCATCAGCATGCGCTGTATAGCTTGGGACCCATTTGCTACGAGGTTAAAACCCCACTAGAATCCTCCAACCACAACATCACCAACCAACATATCAAACACCACATAACACCTAATCTCTACATACATTACAAAGCGTCAAATGCTCTTTGGGCTCTGAAACTACGTGACGCAGAGGCTCGCGAGGACCAAATATACACACATACCGTTAATCGCACGTTTAATAATAATTTAGTGGTGTTAAAAAATGTTTGCGTTAACCGTTTTATTAACGCGTTAACTTGATGTCCTCAGCCCCTAATAAATAAAATAGTATATTGGTTATGATTAAACATTACCCTTAAACCAACTCATTTCCTCCCTTGCCCATACCAAACAAAATCAAATATATCAGATAACCTGCCTTTGGTGGGAGCCAAAAAAAAACAGTTGAGAAATTGCTTTCTGAGCTCATGTGTTTCCTATTTACGGCCTGCACATAAATCTCAAATGCGTCTGGCGGCAGTCACTGTTGTCATGTTTTCCATGTGTAGATTCATGTTTGTCAATATATTTTAATCCCATAATCCACAATATTCTCCTCTGCACACACAAGTCAGTATAACCAATGAAAATTAATTAGCCTCGTCATCCCGCAAGAGCACGTTGTTGGATAAAATAAGAGGCTTAGTTTGGTACAGATATCACTGTGAACTGGAGGAATACCAGCAGATCTATTGTGATTCAGTGGATCCCTCGAGTAAGACACCATCTTTTGTGCTTACTGTTTTCCGACTTGCACCCAACAGGGAACACGTAGATTAAAAAGATAGAGATTGTTGTGTGCGGTTGGCGTTTAGCTTTTTTTTCTGAGTGGGTCATTGGTTGCAGAGAGCGAAGGCTGACGACAATGTGGCCTTTGACGTGGTAGATACACGTCAAATGTCGCCATCTTTGGCTACGGGCCAGGTTTGCATGCCACTGTGAAGCGTCTCAAAGGGTTATTGTGGTGGCTTTTCAGGGTTTTCTTCTCAAAAGGGCTGGAGCAGTCTTTGTGGACGATCTATTGTGAAGCATCTTTGTCTGTGGACTGATAAGACAATGGTATGCGCCACTGAGGGCCGCACATGGACGCCAGAATGCCTCTCTCTTTGACTGTAGCAAGGGAGATGTATAGCTTCTTAATGGTCATTCACTTCTTGAATTACCGTAATTTTCGGACTATAAGGCGCACCTGAATACAAGCCGCAGCAGCTAAATTGAATGATGTGTACATATATAAGCCGCACTGGACTATAAGCCGCAGGTGTTTTAATGTTTAATTACCATATGTAAGGGTTCGTGCACAGAGGGGATTGTCGGGAAAGAGATGGCTGTTTGAGGAAGCTCCCATTTATTAACATTTCAACAAACAAGTTGCATATTTGCATAACGTATTCAAGTGTTAGCATTTAGTGCAATAGTAGCTACAGAACATGTACTGTGCTGTGTAAACTGTACTGTATCGCATAGCGTTTCAGACACACAAACTTTTCAACTTTCAAACTTAAACGGTGCGCTCCCAGCGCACGTACCGGCAGTGATCTACAGCAGTGGTTTTCAACCAGTGGTACTTGCACAAACTGTCTCGCTCTCGTAATGTCTGTCTGTCTTGCTCTCGTTCTGTCTCTCGTACCACTCTCGGTTCCACTTTTACTTTTGCGCGCTACCTGTCTCACTCTTTTCCGGCCTCCAGCTTTTCCTGCTGGAGCCCGCCGCTTAAAGGTGGGAGGCACGGATCGGCCATAGAGCCCATAGAGTTAAAGGTGGTGGACTGTAACCTGTAAAATCCATAGATTTAGGAGGTCCCCTAGTGGCCGTTAGCTGTAAAAATCCATAGATTAGCCGCACCGTTATATAAGCCGCAGCGTCGAAAAATGGGAAAAAAGGCGCGGCTTATAGTCCGAAAATTACTGTATTTCTTAGTTTATTGGGCCATATTTAGTTGTATCCGCCTCGCACCTTCACACAGCTGTATATCAACAGAGAGATATCCTGATCTAAGCGAGGACCTGATCGTGTCACGTTGATCGGGAGAGAAGTTGAATCAGTGTTTTAGGTAGTTGACAAAGCTGCATAGCTCAGGTCTGTCTTGATAGAGATGAATCTTGACATTTGTATCATCAACAGCCTCCTCCTGATTATACAGCAAGTCCCTGAAGAGCCGCTGGTATAAATAAAGCAGAGGCAGGTAAACACTTCGGCGAACAGAATTTGCACATAGGGTTGTTGGATCGCTTCCAACTGAACTTAGGTCTTGTAAAAAGTTCTCCAATTATTGGCTCAGAATTTACATTTTTTTAATTTGAGCTTTGATCGAGCATCTCATGCCAGAAATCCTTATCTCTCTTTTTTATTTGATGTTTTAGATGGATTGGGAGTATTCACAGACTGTCGGTGCTGAATAATAAATCAAGCTTTTGTTTCCTTGTAGGACTGGTAAAAAATGAAAGCTCCCATACCTCTTCTGATCCTGCTTCATGCCGTTGTGGTCCATTGCCTGAAAGTGGTGTCGAAGAGAGGCTCAGGTAAGTCTTTTATTGTCACTTTTGTTCTAATACTTGTCTCTGAACGAATCTGGGAACAAATTGTCAAATTGTATCTATTTTACTTCAGTGTCCCATTTATAAGGAGCTATATTAATTGTTACAGTTGTGAATCTCTTGAACCTGGCAAGATTTCAAGGCTCTTTTTTTAACCTGAAGCACAAATCATGTTCCAGTCAACAGCATGGGATCACATACAAACGGTCACAATTACAATCAAGGCTGTCCTGTCTTTCAACAGATTGACTTTTAACCCCATAAACACTTAAAGGAGACCTATTATGCAAAATCCACTTGTTCACGTCTCTCCTACATCAACATGTGTCCCCTCTTCTCCATGTCTCTTCTACATCAACATGTGTCCCCTCTTCTTCATGTCTCTTCTACATCAACATGTGTCCCCTCTTCTTCATGTCTCTTCTACATCAACATGTGTCCCCTCTTCTTCATGTCTCTTCTACATCAACATGTGTCCCCTCTTCTCCATGTCTCTTCTACATCAACATGTGTCCCCTCTTCTTCATGTCTCTTCTACATCAACATGTGTCCCCTCTTCTTCATGTCTCTTCTACATCAACATGTGTCCCCTCTGTGGAAAGAGACTCTGAAAGTTCTCTCCTACATCAACATGTGTCTCCTCTTCTCCATGTCTCTTCTACATCAAACATGTGTCCCCCTTCTTCTTCATGTCTCTTCTACATCAACATGTGTCCCCTCTGTGGAAAGAGACTCTGAAAGTTTCAGGAACAAAGATTCTCTCTCTTTTGGTCCGACCATTTAAATAAAAACCTGTCAGATTTTGGTCACTTGATGATGTCATAAGGGTTGTTTTTGGCTTGAGTAACCATTATCACAATCCAGCAACGAAGGTAACCCCCCCCCCCCCCCTTATCACCTGGAATCTCCCTCCTAGAGCACCATTGTGTTCTTTATAACCAAATTCTCTCTCAGAGGGGCGTGGGAGGGTGCTCCTTATTTTCATCTAACAGTAACAATCAGAGAATCAGCACTTTGAAACAAGGCTGAAACAGAGGGGATTATGGGTAATAATTGCTGCAATGCAATGATCTGTTTGGTGTTTCGAAGCAAACACTTCAGAGACATGTTTTTGTATATATCTGAGAGCTAATAATATATCGATGGAAAAACAATATAATAGCGGACTTTAAAGTTGGACTTAGTTTTGGATTATCTTTGCGATCATTTGCATGGTATCATCTGTTTTCTTATTTTGTAGAAAAATAAATAGTAACAGGTGTTTATTTTTCCAGGGTTTACCTTTCATTAAATAATGAGAGATGACAAACCTTTTGCACCTATAATGCACACACTCGAGTGTCGAGTGTGTGAGTGAGTACTCGTCTGGATCTATGAAGCACTTTGCAACTTGCTCTCTGGCCTTTATTTGAATATCCAAGTATTCACATGGCTTTGAATTAATAGCAATTGATCTCCATTCCAAAAAGACAATTACTTTCTACAAGAGGATGGGCATGCAAGTCTAGAGGAGGAAATCCCACACTGGCTAAGATGAAACATAAAGGAAGTATTTTGCATTCTTTTTTCCTTTCTAGTGGCTGCTGCGGTCTGGGTTTTTTCCCTTGCATATTAGACACCAGGTGCGGGAATGGCCAAAGGCTCATCAAGGGGTTTTCTGCTTTGTGCAGCAGAAGTCCCCTACGGGCTATCTCATCCGGATGCTTCATGAGCCATGAACTGTGGCAAGGATTTTAATGTGTCCTCTGATAAATGAACACCCGGTCCGAGCCGGACTTCCTGTTCTTTGTTCCTTCTTCTTTTAGATTATACTTCTTTATTAGAAGGCCATGCTGGGAAGCAAGTGAGAGCACCATTGTCTGGCAAATGAAAGCCCAGTTTTAAATTGCATTGCCTTTCCATTTATAGTCGAATCGTAGAAAACAGCGGGGTTCGGAGCGTCTGTTTCCGGGGGCCTTTTTTGTCGTGCCTCGTTTTTTGTTTTTTGTCAGGAAGTGTGCAGATTCCCTGGGTCATTAGTCAGGTAATTTTTTCAGATAACGTCCAGGGGTTTAGTCCATTTATAGATAATAAACTAGTTCAGTCATTCGGTCATATGTTTTATTGGATGAATTGAAATATAAATAAGATTGAAGTCTCATTTTAGCTTTGTGCTTCTCGATTCATCCTGCCATTTTTACCAGCTCGAGATTGGGCACATGCATGGGTCCAATAAAAATGTGGCAATGCTTTTGTCGCAATTACAAATAACTCTAGGAAGGGGGTGTTCTTCAATATCTAAGGAAAATATCACGTCCATATGAAATTACAAATCGAATCCTAATGGCTCATCTTAGTTAAGACGAACTGAGCTGCTCAAACTCAAAACATTGTCTGTTTCATTCTTACTTTTTATGAAAAGCATCCACTGCAGGGACAAACAGCACATTTAAAGGAAATTAAATATCTTGATTAACTCCCGTAGGAACAATAGATCCACTCATCTTACTTGCTTTCCTTTGCACTAGGCATGAACACAGCACACACACACCACACTAACTCCAGACACCCCTGCACAGTGCTGCATGTGCACTGTATTATCTGGAGATGATTAAATTCAAAGACACCGTCCGAGAATGCGTGCATGTAGCGAGGTGGACAGTGCAAAACAGTTTTTACAATGATATCTGCCATACTAATCTCAGCATGCATAATAGAGAACATATCCATTTGTCCTCTGCTGTGGTTCCTCTTTGGTAACAATCTGAGACGCCTAACGCTGAGTGAACAGAATAGTAATTACTGTACGTACAGTTTTCATTCAACCAACATCATGCGGTATGTCTGAAGT